GTTCTGATCAGACCACAGGCTTTGACCATACCCAAGGCTCTGATCAGACCAGTCTCTGACCAGACCACAGGTTCTGACCAGACACCAAAGTTCTGATCAGAGCCCAGACTCTGACTAGACCCTGAGTTCATACCAGACCACAGGCACTGACCTGATCCTAGGCTATGACCAGACCCCAGGCTCTGACCAGACCACAAGCTCTGACCAGACACCCAAGTTCTGACCAGAGCCCAGACTCTGACTAGACCCTAAGTTCATACCAGACCACAGGCACTGACCTGATCCCAGGCTATGACCAGACCCCAGGCTCTGACCAGACACCCAAGTTCCGACCAGACGCCAGACTCTGATCAAACCCTAAGTTCAGACCAAGCCACAGGCTCTGACAAGACCCCAGGCTCCGACCAGACCACAGTCTCTGATCAGACCCGAGGCCCTGACCAAGCACCAAATTTCTGACCAGACCACAGGATCTGAGCAGACCACAGGCCGTTACCAGACCCCAAGTTCTGACCTGACCCTAAGTTCGTTCTAGGGTGTCGCTTCTTCTAATCGAACACTTGTGACTTAAAGTAAATAAATTAATTCTTTTTTACGGATTGTTACCCAATACCCTAGAAAAAAAACACCATGAGACGAAATTGTAGCAGTATGCTTGTTTTATCTAATTACAACTTTCTCGTAATGACCGACTGTAGGAGAATGGGTTGAAGGGAAGCAAACAGTCTAACCGTCGTGTGCCTTCCTTTAGAGTAGCAGGCGACCAGTTCTCTTTTTAGGCTGCTAGGGACCGCTGTCATATAGAGAACATGCCTTTTTTTCCAGTCAGCTTTCGTCTAAAGAGTCATTCATCGATAACCCATGATCTGTTAACCTGTTTCTTAGGGGGGTCGATTCCGCTCAGCTGATCTTCTTTGTCAAGACGATAATTATCAAAACTATTTCTGTAACATCCTGCAGATGTGTCCTTAACAAGATATCTGTTGATAACCAATATCGCTATAATTTAACACCTCATGATAAACAGCGACCGGGGCCAGCTCTAAAGTTATATGGGGCCCCGGCGTAAGCTGAGCTTCGGCGCCCTTTGCTGTATAGTATTATTTATTTAATTATTCGTTTACTTACTTTTTACTGCAGTGAAGTAAATAAATCGTTTAATTTTGTGACATCCTTTCAGGAAGTGTGATGAAATTCAATAGGATTATTTCATCACTTCCTGCTATCTCTTATATAAAAAACGCATGTCCTGGTTTCTCCACACCCCGTCGCTTTTAATATGCTCGCCTTTCAGCTGGGAACATCCTGGATGCTTATTATGACAGGAAGCGTGACGACACTTTCTAGCTGAGGTACCTACACACAAAATTCAAAGTTATAGACTTTCGCATCCACTTCAAAGTTTTACAGTTCACTGAACCGTAAGGTTCCGACACGCTTTCGCGACGAATTTCATTTTGTTCGTGTATTAGGTGGGAATAATTAATGTCTTCATGTTAAATTTTAAAGTCCTTTATTCATTTTTGATATGCTCCTGAACAAAACAAAAGTCACATCTCGTTTGTATTTTTTGAGATGAGAAATTATCATTATTATATACTTTTTTTCTATTTGGGCCACTATATTCACTTTCGTTGTTATAGTCAAAACCTTTCGGCTCTTACTGATTTAATAATTTTTATCAGTATTTTTGGGATGAGCAATTATTATTATTTTATACTTTTTCTATTCGGATCACTATATTTATCTTGGTTGCCATGCTCAAAACCTTTCAGCTTCCGGTTTCTTCATTTGGGTATTTTCTAAGCCTAGTTTAGAGTGGCACAAAGCCGAATGAATGTTGCACCCAGTGAGGATCGTACTCACTATTCAGTTGTAATTCATCTATGGAAACATGCTTGCTAACCATGGCACCACGTCGAAGTGACCCGGTTTCTTCAGATGTCTGTCTTCGGACGTGGTAACCTTCTTGGAATTTCGAACCATTTCCGTTGTTCATTCCACGGAATCGTCCAGAAGAGGTAACTTAGCGTTTCAATACTATCCGAAACTTAAATCATGTCCAGACAATCCGACATAGGTCTGCATTTTTAACAGTAATCATGGCACTTTATTCAGTATGAAAGGGAAAGCAACAAAAGCCTATGTCTTGCGAATGGAAGAGAACGTAGAATTTTCCAAAGTTCCCTTTCAAAATATTCGAAAATCCACCATAACTAAAATCCCAGCTTGGACAACAAGGCACCCAAAGTTCTTCTCGGGCTACTAAAGAGCTCAAAACAAAATACAAACCCAACCACTTTTCAAGCGGAACTACAAAACATTAGACAACAATATCCAGATTATTTGTACATTTACCACTGATGGTTCCAAAGACAGCGACAGAGTAAGATGTGCCGTTATTTTTAAAAATGCAAATGTCTCCCAAATGAAGCCGCCATATTTAGGACAGAAGCCAAAACGATAAACATGAAGAAAAATGTATCATCTTTTCTTGTTCCATATCAGTATTAATATCTATCAAATCAAAAAGCTGGAAAACCGTTTGATAGCTAAAATATTATTAAAAAGATTAACACTATCTTCACGTTGAAAAGAGTTCTGATTATCTGCATTTGTAGCCATGTTCGGATTAAGATCAATGACAGAGCAGACAAAAGGGCTAAACATGCATTAAAACTGGTTCCTGAAAACTACCAAATCCCATAGACTAATCTAAAACCATTAATTAAAAAACATACAAAATCAATAGCAAGTACAATGGAGCAGACAAACGTAAAATAACCTAAATATAATCTGTCCAAAACTCAGGAGAAAAAAAAACAGCCATTATGAAAAATCCCTAATGAAAGAGGTTACTATAAAATGACAACGAATAGCTCACACTAAAATGGCGCATTCTTTCTTACTAAACCAAGAAGAACGATCAAGGTGTCCTACATGATAAACCCAATATACAGTAGAACATTTTCTAATTGAATGCCTGTAACGAAGGAGTTGCCGAGAGAAGACGTCGTTCTCCCACCGTGAAAAGAATTCGCGTGGCAATATGCGTTATTTGTAACCGTAAGCGGAATTAATTTCGGTGCCATTCGAACATGGCGGCTCGCATTAACCAGTTCAGGTTGATTTATCCGAGTAGAATGAACGTACAATACACAAGCCAGAATGTTGAGAGAGTGACGTGATTTGCATATCCATAGGCGAATTTAATCCAAACACCCGGATCGAGTACTTCGCGAGACACCGGAGGCAGTGAGAAGGAAGGTGTGAGTGTTTGTGCTTTGGCCCTGTGTCTCTAAGGACAGCCAAGGAGCTGAGACGAGCGACCGTGTCTCTTTTCTATTTTCTTTGCTTTGCTTCATTTTTACTTCAAACCTTGACTCCAAAAGACACAATTTCTTCAAGGCAAGCAACCTAAACGAATATTTGAAAATATTAAAATAGAATTCTAACATTATTAAAAAAAAAAAAAAAGCAAAACAAAGATTGATTGATTTTGTTTAGTGGCATATCAACCTCTATGGGTTATTTAATGCCGACAAGATTTTTTATTGCTG